CGAAAAAGTTCGTTTAATCCCTCCAACTTCCATATTCTTTTTCCCTATATTCTAAAGTATGATAGTTCCCATTCATATATTTGGCTCTCCTTATTTTCGTTTTATTTATTCACTTTGTATACTCTTCCTTTAATACATGAATTCTCACTATTACTATTCTCACTTTGAACTGTTACCGGTATTATTTCACTTGTTCCACTTGTCATTCTAAATCAATTTTGTTTTGCAACATTAGATTCTATGTTTCACACAATGTTATGTAACGTTTTTATTTTTATTCTTTTTCCCTACTAATCATATAATTTCACATCCCTTCCAACTTCTATACATCCTATGAATTGTTCTATATATGACATTGTTTTACTATTTGATATTTAACTATGATTATAATCCACAAACATGTTAATTGCATTTCATACTATTATTATTTTGTGTATTTACACCTGTGTGTCTATTGCCTCACCGGATATAACTTCTTAAAAACCATATAGGTACGATTATACACATTGATAATAAATTCGTTGAAAAGAGTCTCTTCACTGAATCACTTGTTTTGACTTTCTATATGTCAATGGGAATTTTCCACGAATAATTCAGAAGACAGATAAGCTACAATTGCAGGTAGTAAAGTAGCGAAAAAATTCGACAACTAACTTGATACTACTGTTAACCGGGTTCATCCGATTTTTATATAGGTTCCATCAGTGAATCAAATAGTACATTTATAAAAAGTTCACAGATAGTTTCCGTCTTAAATTACCTCTTCTTTTTTCAGCGAAGCATCTCTATGACATCAGCTTACTGATTTTCGCAGTGCCTACAGCTTGGAAGGACATTAATATTGTCTCAGTACTGGATCTGCTAGAACGGTTGCCGTTACCGCACGCTTTTAGAAAACAATAGAAAAAGACTTGCTAAATCTTGAACTTTTGCTGAAGGCTTTTAGTGATTCAGAACAATTTGCTTACAAATATGGCAATGTACTTCATTTAGATTATGACACTCACTGTCTTACGTCACAAAATTGTTTCCATTTTGGACAACGGTTTCAAATATATTTGGCGTGCTTTTCTGAGTTATACAACCCCTTTTCACTCCATACTTAGGCCTGTTTTGTTGAATAGGTTTTCTGTAACACAGACTGTGTCCTGGACTGATAGCTGGTTGCGTACTGCAGATAAAGGAAAGTCTTGCACTGTGTGCTACGAGTTACTGTGCTTTTCTTCCATCTTATGTGTTATAACTTGCCTAATTCTGATGAAATTGATTTTGACAGTCACGCTGATTATCTGATCGCTTCTGTGACTGTTCATCCCAAAATGAGTATCTTCCTATAAGAAATTAGACAATGGTTCTTGTCAAACAGCCTCCTTCTAGGTTTTGCTGTGTTACTTCCACTTTCAGAGAAACGAGATTTAGATGAACTGTTTCGTTCCCATGATTCTTGTAACATGGAAGGGACAGAAGTTGGAACGAACTCGTGTTGAATACCCTCGATTGAATGTTTCCTCTTATCTTTCATGGTTGTCCCACATCGTGTTGACTTGTAGAAAAATATTTGGCCCAACCTTCTATGTAAAGAGGTTAAAACAATCTGTCATCACTCAGCTTCTACATTTACAATCTGTTAACTCTTACTTATCTCCTATACTTGTTTACTACCCCCTTTTAATTCTCCTTGAGCTACTTAAAAGAGGCTGTTATGTTGTGAAGGTGCAAAAAATTTTCAAAAAGACAAAAGTTGTAAAAACTGAGAAGTCGGCCATCTTTTCTTTGGCCGTAGGGGTTAAAAAGATTTCATTTATTATTTTTACTTTTTTCTTCTAATAACTTCAGTCTTTTGTGTATATTAACTTAAGTGACTGAATATCTTATATATAACGTATTTGTTAGTACTTGTTCTGTCTTTAATTGTTGTATAGACATACTTGTTGCTTGGTCGCTACAAGTGTACTGTAAGCTGTCAGGGTAGGCCTTTAAGCCAACTCTTTGATATCACTTTTGACAAACAGTTCAACTCACACAGGAAATTAGCGAAAGTCATCCTGTTGGATTTTCAGCAAAATATAAACACAGTGTCAAGTTCAGCTACGTGATACCTTCTCTGTAGTGTTGTTATGGAGATGGTGGTCTTCACTATTGTAGTTGAGATACAGAATACTAGTTTAACTCAGTGGTATATTTACTGAATCTAATGTCAAAATTATCTTCTGTGAAGAGGTACAAGTTCTGATATTTTACATATTCCACACCAACGATCAGTGAATTATTTCATTAACGAACTTGTTGAATAATAATGAGTGTAAAGCCGACGACAGCAATAAGTTTATCATTTCGCCCCTACACATAAAGCAAAGCAAATAGGTAGAAAACTAACCTCTCATCAATGAAATCCATTGTAAATCAGGATCGTAATGACCAAAATAGATTTTTGGAATTTCATATGGTCGTATTACCGAAGTGTTCCTAATGCTTGAAAACGGCGAATCAGCCAATGAGTAGACATTCTTAAGTCATACTTGATGCCTGAAGTATGAAAGTGACATAGGTAAATGTGGAAACTAGTCTTTAGGAAGTTGTAAGTGTGATAAACTGCTAAACATCTGCAAGGAGAGGATCTCGACTGCACTCACACAGATTACAACAAATGGAAATTCGTGTAAGTACTAATGTGTATGGGCTGATAATATGAACGAGATGACAGTAATTGAGATTGTCCAATGTAATGTTACTCTTTATCAACGCACACGTCAATTTAAAGGCGGAATTCTTTGAAAACCTTCAACTACTTATCAACTCAGACAATGAAAATTCACGCAGAAACATCGTTTAGATTTCAATTGGTTTTGTCTCTTATTATTCAATATTTGAACTAAACCATATCAATAATAGTTTCTTTAGAGTGAATATGTATTTTTTTTTTTTAGTTGAAAATGTACGACAAATTGAGATGCTCAAAAGAAGTCATACATAAATGTCATTAAATGATCTACTGTTTTGTGATATAAAAGTGTGAACACAGAAAATTTATTATATATATTATTCCCTTGGGTTCCGAGTGGAACACAGAAAAACTACTTTCCAATTTAACATTTGAGACCCGAGATGTAAGTATACTAATGATGTTACCCTTACTGATGTAGCGTTAGGTAATTCCCCAGAATTATTGGCCACAGTATTCACCATTGAACATCAGATGCTAACCCTCACTGTTTAAGTCGATTTGTTTGATTGAAGGCTGACGGTCAAGCGTCCACACTATTCGGCACGCTGTCGTGTTACGTTTGTTCATTCATGCAAGATCGCTAGCTATCACTGTTGACAAACAGTTCAACTCACACAGTAAATTAGCGAAAGTCATTCTGATGGATTTTAAGTCCCCTCTTTACTCACACTTATCCTCTTGCATCTCCTAATGTTCAATTTGAAGTAATCATCCGAGATTTTATGCTTGCACAACTATATATAGAAATTCAATGACACCTTATTTGGCGCGCATCCGTGACAAAAAAGCGTTAGGCATGTAACTACTGACTTACTGAGAAACAGTAAATAAACGGATCTTTCCTCTCTTCCCCCCACTTTTGTTGTTGTCAATATTTCTGTTAATTTGTAATTGATTTTTGTATTCATTTATTATGACCATTATTATTACTGCAAAAGTAAAGCTCAGTGATTATTTTTCCTTTTACGACGTAATATGAATATATAATAGTATACCATTCAATTGAAAATTTTAGTGTACCAAAAATATTTGAAATTAAGCCATTAGTATTATTAACATTGCATCGGTGGTTCTGCAGTATGACGCATGTGATCCACGGTTCGATTCCCGGCCGAAGCACTCCTAAACCTCGCTAGTTTGGCAGTAAGCCGCGTAAAGGGGAGCTTGGGCGTGGGGCTAGTACCCAATCTCGTGAAAATAAAATCACTGCTAATGAAACTAAAGCTCAGGCTTCAAGCTCTATGTTCCACTCGGGAACGTAAAGGAAGAAAATAGAAAAATAAATAATTATTTTTATCATGCCGTGGGAAGTGCTTCTTAACTTATTTGTCATATCATGTTAACTTGCACAAACTCCATAATTATTCCAGCATCGCGTTAAGTACTGACATTTTCGTTTGACGTGTTGAAACCCCAGCGCTATTTGATTTTCTACATAGTGTTTCAATCTCAACTCAAACATCATTTTGGAAATCAATGGATTTGTCTACTCTTTTTTTCATATTCAAGCAATTGTTAACCATTTCTTGTCCGTGTCCTGATCACCGCAAGTATATGATCTTTAAGACGATTAGCATCATTCCTTTTCAAAAGAAAAATTATCATTCCTATCTTTGTGCGTTTCTTACGTGGTGTTTAGAATTGAACTCACTACACTCACTCTCCTCTTTACAAGTGTTTCAATTCGTCTTTTATGATAGATAAGTAAGTAATACCGTTACAGTGAAAATTGTGATTTCTACCTTTGGATTATTTCTTTAAATAATAACCTTTGAATTATTGCTCAGTCTTTCGTGGTCGCAAAGTGGTAATGAAGTATTTTTAATTTCAAATTGCTTGCAGATAATGACGAATCACGTCGTACTAAGTTTAGTGATTTCATAACCAATAACGAAAACATGATCTTCAGATTTCTCGTAAGTTTAAATAACTAATATTATCACAAAGTATACTAAACGTAATGCGTCTATATGCATTAAGTTACAGCTCATATTTACAGAAATTGATTAGGTTTACAAATTAACAACAAATAAGCACAAACTGCATTATCGTAATGTATAAATCTATACACACTACTGTGTTGTAAACTTTAACTATCACAAGTTACTTTTGTAAATCTTTTAAATTCATAGTTATTTTTGTCAATGAATTAGGGGGTCGCATTTCTGGATACAAAAATTGTAATATTAAAACACTGCTTGATACATAGATACGTTTATTGACTATTCAAGAGAATCGATAAACTGGGACTTCATCACCCTTTGTTAGTCTCCTTTCAACACCATCTTTAGAAATAATGGCTAAACGTATACATCCACCACTGGAACCATCTCTATTTATAGCAAGAGCAACACCTAGATTAAGTAGAGAAAAAGAAATCGTTGCATTTAAATAGATGGACAAGTTGAACAGTATACTACAGTGTACTTACTAAGTGTGCATATTTTTTTCTAGATTAAGAATTAAGAACCATGTAAAAATGTATATATGCATAATACGAAACTTTCCAAGGCGCTGTATAAGTAGTGGTTACATTTTTGTTACATTAATTTCCTAACACACAGAATCCAGTGTACATAAACTAAACAACAAACTTTGATTGGAACTAGTAGGTAACCAGTATGCGTCTATCCTCCGTTCGGTGCAGACTAAATTCCATCAGCCAAGTTTGCAATGTGGCCACCACGCTACGTGGTTCAACACTCAGAATTGTTGCCTTCAGATGGTTAGAGTCACTCTTCAGCAAGGCGTATCTGCAACCTTGGAGGAACTCATGTCCCTCCTGAGATGTGAACCCGTGTCACCCTGTGCTGCAATCAGAGACGTGAGGATAATACCGAGCCCAAGATAACAGTAGCAACCACTAGTCTGGATCTTTCAATGGACGGTCATTTGTATGGTGTCTAGTTGGACAAATCCGTAGGATGAGGAAAGATCGTGATACTCGCTGGTGCGTTTTGATAATCTTCGCTTACACACCAACCGACTGTATTTTTGATTAAGCAAACGATGAGTTTTATCAGAAGCTCTCTAGTTTTCTGCTAAAAGCAAAACACTTAAATGTAGTCATCTTAACAAGTGATTTTAATGCTCACGTACGAAGCTGAGGCAGGCAAGAAAGATGCATTAGGAGTATCTATCGAATTTTATGCTGATGAATCAACAATTCTGTTCTGATAACGATCTGTATCTGGCTGGCACTAATTTCAAGCAAAAAGAGATAATCTTGCTTGATAACCTATGACATCAAACCGAAGATGGACACAAATATATCACGTTATCAAGAGCGCCGGGGGAAACTGCCCTACCTTCTAAAACATCACTGCGAACTCCGATTATGCATTAGTCTGGGAAAAAGTTTGCCTGAGACTAAATGGCAAACGAAATACTATCAAGCCCTTTCATTTACAGCATCTAGATGACAGTATGAAGTCTGTATTTTGGGGAGAGGCATAGCAACCTTTATCCTGATCAAATTGGTCAATGTATGAAGCCAACTGCAGAAGTAGTGGTTAATTATCTTGGTATTTTGCGAGTGGATTTCTGTAGGTTAATCCTGACTGATACAAGCAAAATGAACCCGGCAGACGAAGAACATGATGAAGCACGACAGCCACTCAAAAGCAAGCTAAGTCTTCCCAACGACTGTGAGCACTGATGGGTGATGAAAGCAGGAGGAACAAAAAAAGCATAAGCAATAAATAATACTTATCAACTACTTAGGCTCATTAGGGAAAGTCTGTGAAAAATTTATGGCGAGGGCAACAATTTCTGAAGAGTACGGAGATTCAATAATTTTTCAGGAAAGGTGGGTGTAACATTGGGTAGAACATGTGGAGTAGCTCAACTAGACCACAAAAGCACTACAGTCGCCCAACTTCCACCCCAGCTTGAATGGGATGCAGAGATCAGTCTTACAACAAGAGTCGAGGTTGCAAACGTCTCTCGCTTGCAATCAAGCAAAGCTACAGGACATATTATGACACAAACCCTACATGACTTTACACCGACACTTAGCATAAACGGAAGACCAATTTCCAACCTCAGATTTGCTGATGATATAGCCCTCATTGGGGAAAACATTGATCAAGTTCAGGACCTCACCTCAAGACTTGATGTTGCAACCAAATCTGTGGGCATGGAAATCAGCACAGAAAAAAGCAAAATACTCATTAACGGAGGAAACAACTCAGATAGATGTATCAGACTTGATGGACATGTATTAGAAGAGGTTGAAACTTTCAAATACCTTGGGTTTACCCTAACAAAAGATGGAAGGTCCACTAAGGAAATAAAAATTCGACTAAACCTAGCCTCTGCCACCATGTCCAAGTTAGGGAAAATATGGAAGAGCAACATCAGCGTCTCAGCAAAAATGAAACTCTACTTGTCACTGGTCCTCTCTGTATTCCTATATGGATGTGAGAGCTGGACCCTGAATGCAGAGACAGAAAGAAGAATACAAGCCTTCGAAAACAAAAGCTATAGAAGGATCCTAGGAATAAGTTACCTTGAAAGGAAAACTAATGAATATGTCTTACACCAGGTCCATAGACTGGCAGGAAAACAGGAACCACTCCTTTCAATCGTAAAGAAACGGAAACTACAATGGTTCGGCCACACGGTAAGACATGACACATTGTCCAAAACGATTCTACAAGGCACAGTAGGAGGAGCACGAAAGAGAGGTCGACCGAATAAGAGCTGGCTTGACAACATAAAAGAGTGGACTGAAATGCCCTTGGATACGCTACAGAAAATAGCATTAAACCGAGAAGAATGGCGAAGACTGATAGCGCGAACTGTCATAGCACCCCCACGACGAAAGTCAAGGGACTGATGATGATGATGACAGGACCACATGGTATGATTCCAGAGGTGTTTAAGGGTGGTAGTGATGGTCTAATGACTAGATTAACCAAGGAACGAGTAAGCGTATAAGATTTGGAAATAGTTCTAATGGATTGATACAGGTCGCTGATTAACCCCTTTTTGTAAGATTAGAAACAAAGCCTACAGCAAGAATCGCAGGAATACCAGCTTGAATAACACAGTATCTAAGATTATAAGCATGGATTCCAGCTCCCAACACTTGCCGTATCTTTTCATATTTGAAGGTGGCATCTGAATCTACCCATTGAGATGTGTCGAGGCAACACCTAGCTATGGATGGAATGCAAAGAAATAATACCAAACTAACCAAAGCACTCCGTTAAAACACATACAAGTGTGTATAAGCCAAATCGAAGACAACCAACACTTTTAGGATGACCACTGCCAATCCTCTCGTTTAATTCCATCATATATGGGTATGACCCTAACCCACTTCCACATTTCAGAGGTTGAATCTTTACCAGGGAACAGCTTTGTTGATTTACAGTATAATGATACTATTATTCTTTTAAGTGAAGACACTAGCTGAATGTATAGTCTTCTGGACCGCTTGAACGAATATTCAATTACTTTTAGCATGCAATTCAAGTGTAAAATGATGCTGCGCAGATCATTGGGTTAAATACAGAGTAAATTGGTTAAATTTGTTGACCACTTCACCTTTTCGGGAAGTTACATTAACCAGAATATGCTGGTTGCTGACCAAGTCCTAGCACGGACATAAAAACCTCTTTTGGTATGCGCCAAATTAGGTAAATATTTGGTCCATGGAAAAGAGAATAAAACACTATGCCAGGGTGCCCAGATTTGCATAGCCTAGTTACTTGTTTGCACCAATATTGAGTCCAGTTGACAAATAATACGTAATGATTCTCATAAAACCTGTGGACACAGAATACCCATACCAACTTTAATCTGATTATTCCAGTCTCCTCATTTTTATTCACTACACCATAATACGCTACTATTTCTTCCTAAACTGCTGTTGACTAGAACACAGGTCTTCAGTATCCTGTAAGCGACAAACAGTGAATAGCAGGAAAAGAACGTGATGTGTACCGAAAGATTGCTGCTACGTAATAAAAGCGCTATACCAGCGTTAGTTATCACAAAGCATTCAATTTATGAGACAGACATTTGAAATGAAACTAACCTTGAAGAACAAAATCAGCACATTCTTCTTTCGTCATCCCCTTACGAAATTTGTGATCAAAGTACCCGTAAATATACGTGCTACCAGAACCACCAATAACGGTAGGCTGCCTTACGAGCATACCTCCAAGTGGAATGGAATAAATCTAACATTTTTTTCGTTGACGCAATTTTACTAATACCTGGCCACCTAACTCGCTGTCCCAGCCTGCAACTATAATACCTGCAGTCAAATCATCTCTGTAGTTGTAGCAGAAGTGACGACAGGACATAGCAGCTTCTAAAACAGTTGGTTCTCTATCCATTTCTAAGCGATGAAAGTCCAGTTTGTATCTAACCATGTCTGCGATTGTTTGTGTATCTGCAGCAGACCCAGATCGGCAACAGTATATACTTTTTGTAAGTTGCGTGAGTTTATCTGTCACACGATTTACAACATACGTACTGGAAAATGAGATATAAGATTTTGTAGTTACCCAGAAGAGGTCCTGGAATCAGCTCCTATGACAACTCCACCATCATACTCACATGCAAAAAGCGTCGTCTGAATTTGTCACTTTTAATATGTACATTCAACTCACCCCAGTGCTAACTCCTTTGCCATCTTGAATACCCGACTCTACACTAAGCATTTTGCTGTTGTTACGACCACGTTTAACCCTACCGCCGCATGGATGTCCAATATCCAATATCCTGATTACGAGCTAGTATAAACCACTGATTTCTTTGAGCTCGTTTCTTGATTGTAAGGTAGAGGTTCCAGATCTTCAGTGAACTTATGCGTAGTAAGTCCCGCCACTCGACTGCTTTAGCTCTGGTAGACTCCAAGAGGAGTGGTGCGAGGATTGGCCAATATTGTGGTTTGTAGTGTGCAGTATGTTAGGACTCAGCTGCTGCCGTGAATGGAGTTTGACCTAACACCCGCTGGTCATTCGGTGAAGTCATAAAAGTAGAATAATAATAGGTTGTAGTGTAGATAATATAGGTTGAGATAAGTGAAATAATAAAGGTGAAATAATAAAGAGAGAAAGAAAAGATAGAGTAGTCGGTACAGTGGGAGAAGACAGGACGGGTCGTAGGGATTTAGCTTGTATGCTTATCCATTGACAATGTGGTTTCAAATTTTAAGAGGGTAAGCCATTGAGACACGAACCATGCATTTCTGCATGATTGTCCAGCTTCCGCTTAAAAGTCTCCACAGATGGAGCTGTAGTTACGGCCGCCAGTAAAGCGTTCCAGAGACGGCAAACTCGAAGCGAGAAGAAATGTGAACGTACTCGAGTCTTTGGTCTCTGGTGTGCTATCCTTAGCGGGTTACCTCGTGGAAGCCTATAATCACTTAATGGCAGGATGCTTTCATTAGGGTGAGCCTGGTCATTTAGGATCTTATACACGGTGATGAGGTCTCCCCTGTGACTACGGTAACTAAGTGTGAAAAGACTTAATTTCTTCAGTCTTTCCTCATATGATTTGTTGCGGAGGCCGATCACCCATTTTGTCGCTCATCTCTGGACACTTTCTAGAATGTTAGCATCCCTTTTGAGTAGCGGAGGAGCAATGATATTATGCACCTCAAGGAGTGGCCTCACGTATGTCGTATACAACCTTAAGAATAGTTCAGGAGTAAGAGCTCCCAGCTGCCTATGCATAAAGTGTAAAGTTGCGTAAGCTTTGGCGACGTCCCTCGTGTAATTTACACTGGTGTCTAGCTTTTCTGTTAAAATAAGGCCTAGGTCGCGTTCTGATGGCACACAACTCAAGTTCTGGCCACCAAGGGTGTAATTTGCACTCTGCGACCTACCGGAATGAAGTTGCGCTACTTTGCACTTCTTTAGGTTGAAAGGCACTCCGTTAGCCAGAGCCCAGTCTCCCAGCGTTTGCAGGTCAGCCTGCAATCTGTCGGAGTCTTCCGGTGAGTTTATTGCTCTCCAAATCTTTACGTCGTCAGCGTAAAGAAGAGCAGAGCAATTCAGTCGACAGGGCAGGTCGTTGATAAAAATCAAAAACATCAACGGCCCTAAGATAGAACCCTGAGGAACCCCTGATGCCGAGGTGTGCCAGGATGATCGGATGCGGTTGACTTTGGTGCAGAATTCTCTCTCGCCTAAATAATCTTCCAGCCATGCGAGAAGTGCTCCAGAAACACCCGCTTTGCTTATTTTGTGAAGGAGCAGACCATGGTGAACTGTGTCGAATGCTTTCGCAAAGTCGAGAAAGATCACATAGACTGGTACCTTTACATCCCAGGATAGTGTCCATACGTTCCAAGCTAGTAGAAGATTCGTCACACAGGATCTTCCTCTCCTGAAACCGTGCTGTGCTTCATGGAGTAGGTTAGTCCCGTCGAAGTATTTTCTCATGTGGTCGTCAATGAGACTTTCCAATATCTTCGATATCACTGGGAGTAGCGCAACTGGTCTGTAACTGGTCGCGTTCCGCCGGTCACCACCCTTGAAGATAGGGGATAGGATGGCTCGTTTCCATTCACATGGAAGTTTCCCTATATCAAAGGAGTGTTGAAACAGATCACTTAGGGGTTGGCAGAGACTTTCTGAACACTCCTTCAGGACGGATGGTCTTATGGCATCGCGAAGCCAACTTTCCCAATTTTACGAGTACTGTAGTGACCCATTTTATTACTCATAATCGTACTATACTTTCATTGTGTAATTGTACTTCGACTTGTTTATTACTCTAAATCTTGCATGTTAACAATTGATACTTTTGTGCTCGCTCGATTTTTGAATTTTGATTGCTGCAATAATACACTATCGTATTCCTTCGTAAGTGCCTTTTGAATTACGTTGCGGATGTCGAGTAATCGCAACGTTAGGTCACAATTATAAACGCGAAGAAATACTAGAAGATACGTGTACTCTAGTTTAGTCAAAAATATAGCAGTAACAAATTGGCGAGCCCGACAGAGCTGATTGATGGACTACATCATTTCGAAGTATACACAGTGGAATAAATCATCTTTGCCATCGCATTAACTTTTATAACTTTATAACATTTGGATGTATAATTACTGATATTTCTGCTAAAAGTACCTCCGGACCTGGCGGCACAGCGACTGCTATCCCAGTTCACCCTGATACTCAAGCAGCTATAGCAGCTGGCTGTCATGCAACACCTCAATTCCAGTTCTCTGTCCTCAAGCTTCAGCAATGTCTACAGGTGTGCAAACACTCTTACAATGGTCTGCAACTCCATTTACTCAAGCCGGTCCTACAGCTGTTGAATTACAACAGTTTACCCAATCACCTCAACAACAACAGATTCAAGCACAAGCTCATCAGTTACAACCAGCTCAACAGCAAGCTTATATCCAACAACATCAGCAACAAGCAACAATGATGACAACTGACGTCTCTGTCAGTGGTCAACCTTGTACTGTAGCTGCACGCTCCCATGCTACTCCCCAGTTTATCACTCTGGCACCAGGAGCTCCATTGAAAGTCATGACTGTTGTTCCTAACGGTCAATTGATTCAAACCACTGGTATACCACAGTTTATGCCAACTGCTTCTGTTGGAATGGCTATCAATCAACCAACTTCTACTCTCCAACCTCAGCAAACATCAATTCAAGTTACTCCTCAACGCCGAGTAACAACACCCCAGCAACAACAACAACATGCTGACGGGCGTTCACTTTCAACCGTATCAGCAGCAGCAGCAGCTACTGCTGCACTCTTCTCTGGCACAGCCATCTCTTCTTGTACAATTCCACTTGTACAACCAGCTTTCATGGAAATAGAGGTAACTGAATGTTTGCCCAAGTCATTTCCATACTTCCTTATTACTATACTATTAACTGTATGTTAAGGTATAAATCTATTCTGTAACTCCTTACAATAACAACCTCACTATTATTCTAATAATAATTTTTCTGCTTTTATTGTTACATTTTGCACAGCTTTCTAAATATTTCGGTTCGTCTCAAAATTGTTAACATTTCCTAATATATACAGTTATAATCGAACCTCAGAAAACTTAAAATCCTCAATTCGCTTTTCATATTTTTTTGTCCTTGTGATTTACAATATCATTCCGAATACAAGTAAACTTCATTTACCTGCATTCTACGGAGGGGCTATTGTAGTGATACATTTTATTACTCATAATCGTACTATACTTTCATTGTGTAATTGTACTTCGACTTGTTTATTACTCTAAATCTTGCATGTTAACAATTGATACTTTTGTGCTCGCTCGATTTTTGAATTTTGATTGCTGCAATAATACACTATCGTATTCCTTCGTAAGTGCCTTTTGAATTACGTTGCGGATGTCGAGTAATCGCAACGTTAGGTCACAATTATAAACGCGAAGAAATACTAGAAGATACGTGTACTCTAGTTTAGTCAAAAATATAGCAGCAACAGTACCATAGCCGGGGTAATTTGAAATGTACCCAGCAGGTTTTCGCACGTTGGTCTTGCATTGTAATCTTGATGTTTTGTGGGGGTAAAACCCTCATTACTTTTCAGTTGCCTGTGAAAGGCTAGACTGAATGTCTCTGCCATTTCAAGACTAGTAAGAGATTTCCTATCAGAACCCACTAGATTGCAAGCTCCCTGGTTGGTTGGTTTTCTTTCAGACATAAACCTGTATAGGCTTTTGGGGTTCACGAGAAGCTTACTGGCGAGGTCTCTCTGAAATGTCCTTCTATCACTCCGGACTCGTATGTTACATCGATTCCTGAGTTCGAGGTACACTTCATGTTCGGGTTGACTCTTCGATACTCGCCACGCAAACCAGGCTTTTCGCTTCGCCTGTAGAAGGCGTTGTGTCCCCCTTTTTAGCCATGAACGTTGCTTTCTAGCTTTTGGTGTGACTAAAGGAACAGTGTATGAGACCGCCTGGTGAATGATCTCCTTTATCACTCCCCAGTGTTCTTCTACTGTAAGCTCCGTTCAATTTTTTGGCCAATTTGCTTCGGACAAAAGTCTTCGCGTTTCGGTGTAATTGGCTTTGTTATAACACAGATAGGGCTGTGTATTGTCCCACTGTAAACGCTCGCGAAGGACTATGTCGAATGTTATGACCGCGTGGTCACTACTACCTATGGGAGTCGTGATCTGAACGTTTTCCACTAGTAGCTGGTCACTAGTGAGCACATAATCCAGTCTAGAAGACTTCCCATCTGGGCCCCATCTAGTATCCATTCTGACATTTTCAGTGAATCCGGCCTCCCTGATGGTATGCAGCAGATTTCAATCAAATCTATCCTGGGCATATACCGTCATCAAGTTGAGAGATGGGGCGTTGAAGTCTCCAGCTATGACAATTTGATCATAACCCATATCTTGTGTCGCTGAAATTGCATTTAGCAGTACCTGGTTGTGGTCTGCTCCACATGAAGGTGATCTATAAATGCTGCCCACTAGATATTTGCAGTAACCAACGGTGTAAAAGGGCACCATATGGAGTCAGGGAGAGCAACGGGGGGAGGGTCGATTGCATGGACACATCTGAGCTGTTTGTCGACGTATATGGCGACTCCACCTCCTTCTTTCAGATCCCTATCTCGCCCGACCAGGACCATGTCATTTATACTGACTTCGCTGTCTGCCACCGTAGGGGTTAGCCAGGTTTCCATCAGTACTATGATTTTGGGGTTCAGCTGT